AGAATTATAAGTGACTCTCTACTTCATTTTGTTAACAGTCTTCAGTTACAGAACTTTTTAAAAACTTTTGGGTCACATTTTCCTGTGCATCCTTCAAATAATTGGCAAAGCTCTAAGACAAAACTAGTTGTACAAAAGCCATGATAGTCGCTATTTCACTTATCCATGTTCCTATTAATTGTACATTTTATCACAATCACTGACATTTTGTCTGTCACGGTAACCTGACTTTTTAGTCTATTAGTCCATGACCATCCCTAAAACCCTTTTTAAAACTAGGGTCACATTTTTTACTTTCCATTCCTCTATTATCAAGGTTAATTTAAGTACCAGATTACACAACATAGCTCACGGTTTGCTCACCAATTTAATTTCTGAATTTTTCTATGACTACTGAATGAAAAGTATGTTATTGGGAAATTTATTAATGTTTATTCAATAAATTTGTTTAAAAACCTTTTATTGAGATACCAAATCTGAACTACTCACTATAAAAAACAACTATTTGAGGATGCCCCTAATCATCCTGTCATAAACCTTGCCAGTGCAAGGAGTTCAGTTTCTTTCTGTAATGGCTTTGTCTTTCTCCTTAACCACAAACTTTACACTGGAAAAAGATGGGGTTTGGCTTTTGGAATATTAGCCCATTGCATTTCAGAATCTTTTGTTCTGCTTCATGTTAGGTCCACACTTGCCAAAATTGTGCTCTTTTCTGCTTTGCTTGCTTGGATTTTGCTTTTTAAAAACCTATTTTTATTTCTAGTAGCTTCTTTTACTGCTGAACTGTGTTGGAAAAGTCTTATTTAATCAGGTTAGAAAACAAAGTCCCAATGTATTTTTAATATTTATTTAAACTGTGTCTTCATTAGTATACAGTTCTTTTTTTAAACAAGACTGGACTTTTTAAAAATTTTATTTTTAGCTTTTTTTCTCCTACAAGTATGATAAATTTGAGTATGATATCTCACTACTGAATGGTTCTTCCACAGTCATTTGTTGAATGTTGATCTAGATTAAATCAAGGGCTGTCTTTCTCCTTCTGGATTCCCTATCTTGTTTGCTCAAAAATTAGTGCTCAATGATATCTAAATACACAGTCTGTGCATGATGGCCTAATGAGGCCTAACATTAAGTTTATCCATTCTATACATCTATAACCAAGAACTGTTGCTATGATCAAATTTTTGGGTTCTACAGACTCCTCAGTCTCCCACAGTATTTCACAGCAATTGCCTCTATCTCAACGACTAGCCCAGAGCTCTTACTAAAGTCCTCCTATTTAGCCATAGAACCATACAGAACTACATTTTATGGTTTATTATGATAAAACTAAACTATTGGACTATATTTTCTTTGGTACATACTGCACCATTTGTCTGCACAGTCCAATCTATCATCTCTGTAATCAGCCATGCACTCAACATTCCATCATCTCTGTACGATCTAAACACTGACATTTCAGTGAGCCTTTAAAAGGGTTACATGCAGACCCACTTAAAGAAAGAGGGTGACATACCTGGGGAATTCCCGATTGAATTCATCCTTACCACTTTTCTGAAGACTCATTACTTTTGAGGCACAATGGAAACAGAGCACTACGAGATAGGAATGTGCCAAGATACCAAATAAAAACTAGTGTAGGTTCCTTCCCAACAGAGATCAAATTGCATTTGAAAAAAGGACTGATGAATGACACAGTTGTGGTTATTCAAGAATTCTGTACCAGGAGATGCTGTGTCAGGAACGGAATAGATGAAGGATGCTACAGAAGTCTAAAAAGTCCTTCTGCATACACTGCAGGCAGACCTTTGTGATATTTGCATTTACTTCCTTAGATGAGAAGGGAGAATCTGTTCTTACTGCTGTGGAGAGGAGAAGAGAGAGATACTTTCAGGACACAATGCCAGTAGCTATGGACTTGAGTTTGATAGCTGAGAAGGCCTCTGGGGCTTGCATTTTTTCTGTTGGCTGCAACTCACTTCTTTTCCTTTTGCAAGGCCTCTGGTTGGAGCACCTTCTTTCTGCATTAAATTATGACGTGGCATTAGGCACAACAGAATCCAACAGCTACACTGCAGTATCCAGTGTATATTCATTATTATTTATCTGTACTACCATAAATCTTGGAAGGTCTCACAGTGGGCCACTTTGCATTATGTTGGGCCATGAAGAAACACACAACAAAATATAGGTATGCTTAGATTCTACATACAGAGACAACAGAGTGATTATGGCAGCAAATGCAATGACACAGTACTACTGTGATATGCATTGGCATTAATATACCTGCAATATAACTGTTGTCTGGTTGGATTGCTTGAAGCTTCACAGTACATAAAACTTTTAAGAAAAAAATAGAGGGAAGATAGTGAACACTTCTGTTTATGAAGAAGTCAACCAATACATGAGAGGCAGATGAGGAGAAAATATTCAGTGTGGTCTGAAAATTTAGTGATCGAATGATGAAAGTTGGCATCATATGTTGATCAAAACCAGAGTCAACCTCTTGATACTGAAGGAGTAGAATCAGGTAGAAGTAGTCCTGATGAGCCTTGAAAATAAAGACAGATAGCTTATCTTTATTACTTTAAAATGAAGCAGGAAATTGAAAATAGCAAAGGAGTAGGTTTGGAAAATGGTATTTACAGTAGAGCAGCACTTTGACTAGCTAATGAGCAAGGCAAGGCTGCATTTTGTCAAAGCTAAGTAAAAGATTTTCTAATAAAGACTTGATCCATGAAAAATCTGCTTACAGAGAAGAATGGTCATCCTTTCAGGATTGGAAAAAGATTCCCAAAATGCATGTTTACACTAGATTTGATGACAAAACAAATGACAACATGATGGTATCGGTCATAAAGGGTTCAGAGAAGTTTTGTGAGGGCATCGACCTAAATGCAAAAAAAACTACTAACAAAAGACCAATAGTTGTAACTGGAAATAAAGAACTGAGGACATTGCTGAAGAAAATTTTCATGCATTAAATCTGCTTAGGATTGGAATAGAAGAGGTATATGAAACGCATAAAACATTGTTTTTCCTATAAATACTGTGAAATGAGAAAATTCTTTTGTGTCATATTTATTAATAACTTGTTACAGCTATCTATGCTACCATGTTTTGACTTTCAAGGGTTGAAGAAAAACAATGTTCACGACGTTACAATGTGAGTAGTGCCTCATTCGACACAAATAAAGACATGCTACATTCAGGACAGTCACAATACAAATGGAGTGCAAACAGCAGTAGGGGAAGAGCTCTCAGAGACTTACAACTAACATGCTGAATGTTCAGGCACATTCCTTTGCTCTTCCTTCTCAGTGCACAGAAGGAAACTTACTCTGTTGCTGTAGTTTGGCATCTCAGCTCTTGAGGTATTCTGAAGAGCTGACAAAGTGTAGCTGTGCAGCAAATGCCCATTCCCTACATTCCGAAACATTATCTCCTTCTCTTGATATCTGTTTTCTTGCTTTGGTCCTGGTTTCAGTCATTTATAGCATCACAGCATGAGTTAAATGAAAGAAACAATCAGATCAGGTACTCAACAACAGGGGTAAGAAGCAGCGAGTACTGCAGAGCTGGTTACAGCAGGATACAATTCAGAGTTCCTTCCCTTTCAAACATTTGTAGCAGCACTGCTGCAGGCAGAACAGAGCTATGCCCCTCAAAGTACTGGGAAGTAGCAATCACAGGAAGGGGAAGCAGTCACACCCAGGTGATCTCCCTCTTAGTGGTGATGAGAGAAAAATTCAGATACAGATGAAACATGCAGAGGACTCCTCATACCCGACTCACTGGCATGTCATTCTCTTTCTCCTCTGAAATTAGAGCTGTTCTGAGGCACTTCTGATCTAGAGGCTCAGCTAGAAGGCTGTGTTTAGGGGTTTTTTTTTGCAATCACCTAATCTCCTTCTGCTTTTCTTTCTTTCATCTAACTTACTGCAAGTAAATATATATATGGCCAATAGAACTAAAAGGTGAAAACAGCACATATACAGGTCTAAACACTTTAAAAAGAAAATATGCTGATCAGGATTTTTTTTTACGCAAAATGAAACATTCAGTGCGCTGAAACATTTCCGTCTCTGAAATGAAACCACTATTTCATTTCATATTGAAAAACCTCAATTTCATTTTATATTGCAAAATCTCAAAAGAATAAGTGTTCAGGTTTATAAACGAGAACTCTGAAAATATCCATCCCATAATGAACATAATAAAATTGTGGTTTGAGCGCTGTTGAAGGTGATGCATTTCAAAATCATTAAGTTTTTTGTTTGAACAAGAAATTATGGCTTCTGCTTGGCACTAATTTCATTTAGCAACCCATTGTCTTCTCTTCTTAGTAGTAACTGTCATCTTGAATCCCCAATTCATATTGTAATTCGCAAGTAGTCACTGAGTCTTCTTTAAGGCTTCAAAGTTCTTATAATCCTCTCCAGCAGAAGAAAACCAAAAACTTCAAGAAAAGCATTTACTGAAAGTTTTAAACTTAAATATATTCAGTGCAATGAAAAATACCAGTAGTTATCCATTTAGTTCTCTTCTCAGGAGTATTTTTCAAACCCATATTAAGGGTTTTGGTTTTGTTTGGGGGGTTTTTCTTTGTAGGTTTATTTTTTGTTTTTTTAACTGGACTCTCTAGTCTACTTCTGATCTGAGTGTGATTTCTTTTTTCGTCTTGCTCTTTCTTCAAATTACTTTCATTTCATGCTGCTCTTGTGCCAAGCAATAAAAATAATCCTGTGCTCCTTAACCTTTACTCATCAATTATTATCTGTGTCCTTGCTTCATGAGAAAGAATCTCTAATTGTCTTTACACACAATTCCTCCAGACCTTTACAGGCCCTTTATAATTATCCCCAAATTCAGTAACATTTCCAGTTCTTCCATTTTTTTGGTATTAAGACACAGCTGAAAACATCCTTGAATTTAAATACCAGAAAGGAAATAAAACATCATAAAAAAGGGCACAGAGTTTACAATGTCCCTTTTGTTATACAGGGAAAACACCTACATGTAGTTTTTGCTCATTTGTATATAAAAATAGGAGTCAAAGCAATGACTGTACCCATAGCTACAGGAAAATAACTTCCTCCTTAACCCCAGCATAGATATTTATAGCTATTTTTGGGTGAATCCACTGACATACGATATGGGTAATATGTAGTTCTTGCCTAAGACTATAGCTAATAAGCATGTATGATCAAATTCACTCATAATGCCAGCTCAGTTTAATTTAACCAAGGTACACTGACACAAATGTAAGTGTATATTTATTAACATTTCAGTATTCAACCCAGCAAGACAATTATGTTAGTAAATCAGTTTGCAATAGCTATACAAATATTAATGGTATAAACAGTTTTTGTAGATCTATAAATTTCAAAAAGTTTATCGGTCAAAACACAGAGCAAGGCAGACACACCACTCTGAAAGTAAAGAAAACAAACTTAGAACTCCCAACCTAATAGCAGTAGGGAAGAACTTCAGGGTCCCATGGTGAATTACCTAAGAATAATAAAATCCTTAATGGGTGTACTGTATATATTTTCTAAAAAGTACTGAAGTAATTGACATAAGTCAAACCTCTTGATTCACATTTTTGTCACTATTAGTTTGCCAACATCAGTAAAGACTAACTATTGAAAAAGTCAATCATTTTGATGTACTTACAGCTGAATTTTCCCATCATGTGACCAACTATCCACAAAGCCTCAGTGCCATTAAGAAGTTTTGAGGAATATAGTATTTGGTGCTGCCAAAAAAACATAATTAAAAGAATGTATGTAAATTATACTAATTTTCTAATTAGAAATGCTTTATGATTAATTCACATCTAAAGTACAAGTGGGGGAAAAGCAGGACTTACATTATCCCAATAGGCAGGTTCCAGTACAATCAATGAGACAGTGACAGAATGCACAGTAAGGAGGCACAGTAGGGTCCTGATCTTGCAACTGAACTTTCACAAAAAGAACCCCGCACTACTGCAGAATCTCCTGAATTTCAATAGGGCCCTACCCACACATAATCTATTACAGAGTCTGCCTATGTGGGAGTAACAACAGCGAGAACAGGACCTGTTCCTCCACACACCTGCAAAAATATCAAGATTTAAAAAAAAATTAAATTAGTAACATGCAGCAAAACCTACTGATAGCCTGTTTTATTACAGCATTTAGCACATAATAAAGGAGTTCCAGACATCTTTAAGTTGCATATTATTTATAGGAATTTTTAGCTCCTTCTTTAAAGAATGTTGGCTTAAAAATGCTTATGAATTTTACATGCAGTGACAGCACATTGATTTTTATATTTTACTGATATTATTTTAAATTTAATTTTTGAATTATCATTTTTAAAAATTAATTATTCTAGTTTCTTTGGTTGCATTGTGCAAGTCACTTTTTAGTGCTTCAACCTTCAAAATCTGTCCCACAACATTCATTTTAGGGACACAGCATAGGCCAGTGAATTTACTGAGGTCTTCATGACTGTGAAAGTATCTGACCACATATAGAAGCATCCATTACTAAAGTCTTCAAAAATACATAATGAAAAGCAGAATTAGTCATTTTTAGACCAAAGAGTGGCAGCTTTTTAAAACAAAAAATCCTTATGAAAAACTTTGCTAAGTTTAAGGAATTAATGAGCACCATTTAAAACACAAGAAGCACACAGCATAGTGTTCAACAAGAACACACTACCACTTTGCTGCTTATACCAAACTTAACATCCATTACTTGACCTTATTCTTCTTATTAAAAACACATTTATGTTGATCTTTAAAAGGAAAATGTTATAAATTACAGTATTTTTATACATTATGACCATTTAAAAGCTGGTTAAACATAGGTTCCATCAAGTAATATTTAACTGTTGACACTAGGCAAGACTACTGGTGATAAAGGTTTTAAGAACCAATAGATCCTAGAAACATGCAAAAAGCCCATTTCTTCATTCCTTTAATACAGATAGCTCTGCAGAAACAACAACACTTAAAAACAAATAAACAAAAAAGCTGGGACCAAATGACAGGATTTAAAAATCTAACAACCCAAAAGTTTCATAAAATGGAATGCAGTTTATTTGAGGTTTTGTTTTTTGTTTTGTAATGACTAATTGTTCTCTTCTTGGCTTTGATTTTGTGAAAAAAAAAAACATTAAAATTAGCAGAAAATGGAAAAGAGTAGCACAAGCTTTTGTTCCTTCTTGCCAGGTTGATGTTTTTCAAGTGGGCAAACAAAATTTGATATTTCAAGACAGTTACCTTATGACACTGAACTGGAAGTGTTTTTTCTCATGTTACTTCTTTCAAATTTTACATTTCATATGCATGACTACGAGGCTTCTGTTATTCTGAGAAATTCAACAGTTTTTAAATAATATGCTACAGTACTAGATTCTGTTTAAAGAGTGTTGTATCTTGACCCCTGTCTAACATTACACAGAAAATCTAAAAATATCAGACATATGCCAAGTTAGTGTGCTTACCTGAGCCTGTACAGTGAGTGACACAGCACTTCTAGCAAGTGTAATCTGCCCATTTCTCACTGACTGAGATGAATGGGCAGACAAGACCTTTCAGTACAATTTTGGTGACAAAATCATGCAGCTACAGATTTAGCATTTCCCAAGTTGCACTGCAGTGTGGTAACTTGATGAAGCCTGATCTTAATATTGTTTTCTCTCTCTGTATCTAGTTCCACATCTTTCTTCACAAAGGAAGTTAATTGGAATACAATGCATATTTTCTGCACTGTTCCAAAAGAGTAGGTTGTAGGATGGGTCAGAGACACATAGCTGCAGTCTAAATTACAGTCAATTTCTGGAGAGAGCTGAAAACACAGTTTTACAATTTTGACAGCCTAAGGAATAGCTCAGAGCTAATATCCAAACAGCCAAAGAAGTGAAATACTGAAGCTGTCTCAACAGTTCCCTTCTCTGACATGGATAAGAAAAACATTTTTCTAATCCAGATATATAAAACACTGTATCAGGGAATGATTCACAAGTGTTTTGGGAGATTAAAAGGCCCTGGCAAAACCAAGGGTTTTTCATGACTAGCAGAAGCAATGAAGTCTAGTTGCCTACCTGCATGTTTATAGGTGCCACCAACATACTTGTGCTGAAGTTAGCCTGGCTGTTTTCCCATTCTCTTCTAAAGAGATTTCTCTGAATTTCAGCATCTGATGTCTAGGAGAACAGGAGGCAACTCACATTGTGGCCAGGTCTGAGCTACACATATCAGCTGGCAGACCAACCAAGCATGCCGACCTGCAAGGCAACAGGTTGAACAGAACAGAAAATTTCTGAGTTTGTGCTGCAGCTTTTTCTACCCTGGGGGCACTAATTTAAGTCCCTTCTCTACTCACAGCTGCTAAATTTAATTCAAATTGCAGAAACTTGACTTTGTGACCTTTACCTCTATATCAAATGCAGCTGAAATTAAGCAGTAGATTTGAAATTTACTAAAAGATAACACAATCCTATATTTCTTGTTTTGCTCAGAACCTAGGCATGAAAACACTGTAACATAATCACTGTGAAAATAATGACTTTTATGTCACTTATTGTTTTCATTCAGGAGTTACACCACAAAGTCAGATACAACAGAGCACAATTGTTACACAGTGATAGTATAAACCAATCCAGAGACTGTAGAGACTGTTTCAATAAAACTAGCTTCATTTTGCAAGGTCAACAGGGCCCTGAATATAGGTTGCTTCATAAAGGTGAAAATGTAACAGAAATACAGTTTTTTTTAACTTACGCCGACTATAACTGACAGCCCTTCATGGAGATCATTGGAGATCATTGCTTCTCTTCAACTCCATACTGTCTTTCCTAAGGCTTAAAAAAAGTTCAATGATACACAGTTCAATAAAACAGCTACATCAAGTCTAATCAGTCTATTCAGTATACCTGTGCTTTTGTGGGCTTTTTTTTTTGGTGGGCTGGATTGGTTGTTTTTTTGTTTGGCTTTTTTTTAAGAATAAACATAGTGATTTTTAAAGCCTCACCTTAAAATCCTGATCTTACTGCCTGGATCTTGATATCCCAAATTAGGCAATAGTTTTTAACAATATCTAAAACCTGGTTCCTTTTCTATAAATAACATCCACAATGCTCTGTTTACCCTTTCTATTGATATAGCACTACATTTTTAACTTGTGTATTTCTCACTAAAAAGGCAAACTTGAAATCACAAGAGTTTATTTGTTGCTGGATTCCAGGAAAGAAATAAATTGAAAAAGTATAAATGACCTCTCTAAAACTCCAGTAAAAAAAGAAGACAGACAAAGAATAATCAGTGTGGAAAAGTTAATAGAAAACTGGACATTAGAGGAAAGGTTAGCAGGACACAACAGATCTAAGAAGAGTTAGGGAAGTGAAAGTGATTCAACCAAAAGGGGATGGAACAAAAGAAACAAAGTTATATTCTAAGTGGGGTAATGAAAACAAGCTTTTCAAAACAGTTTGACATTGGCCTACCTCTTCTTCTGTCAAAGCGGAAGAACTACATCCATTCAAAATATGCCTTAAGAAAACCTTAAAATCATTTAAATTTAAGCAGTTGTAGTAGCTAAACTCTGCTCAGCTAAGCAACTAAGGAAGTGCTTAAATTTGGAAATCAATTTACATCCTATTGTTACCTTTCATTAAGTCTGTAGTATCAAAAACACATTCAAAAGTGAGTCTCAGCTCCTTACCCTAATAACACTCAGACTCACACTTTGGTGCTAGCCGGGATCCAGACCATTGGTTACCAGATAGGCAAAGTCAAATACAAGATGCAAGGGGCTAATGTGGATTCAGGCTCTTCTCTCCCATACTCATGCAAGCATTTTTACTTATGTGCAAGATTAATTGTTTGATGAAGAGAACGCAGACAGTTAAATGCTCAAAGTTAATTAAAGAATCAGCTCACTAAAAGAAAACTAAAGGAAAAATGTCTGAGAAAGAACAAAGAAACAGATTGTTGAATCTATATTAAAAATAAATGACCTCTGGGTTACATATCAATGCACTGTGCCTGAAAACTGCTGCCTCTTTCTGGTTTAAGTATTAAACCTTGTTTTTAAAACATGAAATGGTAAAGAACCCTGGAAAAGATTAAGTTTAGTGGTTGATAACAGTACTAAAGTAATTCTTAACACAGGGTGTAGCTCAGATGTTGGCAAAAAGGGCTCAGCATCTCTCTTGGCTATTTAAACACATTTGTGCTTCCAAACGCAGTTTGGTAAACAGCTGAGACAGGGTTAATATCCCATATTCCAATAGGATAAACTTTGGAAATCATAAGCCACTAATAGGGTTCTGTCCCTTTTACTCCTTACTCTACAATACAGTCACTAAAGAAAAATAGAAATTGACCGATTTGTTGAGATACCAAAAAAGGTCTGGGGCATCTCAGGATTCTCTGAATTTCTGGTCACTGTGATCCATCTCCTGAACTATGGATCATTTCGTGCACCATTATTTTAAACTGTCACCTATCTAAAGGATGAAAGGAAGTCAATAACAACACTTAACAACCAGGTTCTTACACAAACAATCCCCTGCTGCCAATATTCCATCCTTCATTTATATCTCTAAAACAAAGGAAACTCCTTGTTTTTAAGATCTATGCTTACTAAATCCATACATATAAAAATCATTACATAATTATTCTTATAAGTAGAATTAAAAACCTGATTAAGGCAGTGAAATAAAGAGAGAAATAGTTTCTCTATATTCAGTCACCTTTTCATAAAATGGCTAAACAAAATAATGTTTTGGTCTTCCCAGGAGAATTATGAGCACTACTAAGATTTTATAAATGTTATGAAGCTCAGAGTTCAAAATTTCCCAGAAACTGGGAAACTGGAGAAGCAAATTAACATCTTACATCAGTCTCAAAAGAAACAAATTGTGCAGCAAAAGAGCATACAAACTAATTAAAAGCACTTTCAGATCCCTCACTCCTGCATTCATTTAGGTAACATTTCATTTAGTTGCAGGCATACACATCTACAAAATTTAAACTTCAGTCTTTCAAACAGTTTCATATATCCTGAACTTCACTCTTCTAAGTAGTGCTACAGATAAAACTATTCATGTGAACAGAGTTAAGCCAAGCACTAAGGTTAAAGAAAGTAATAAAGAAATTAACTAATTAATTCAGTGTACCACTAACAATTATTTTTGAAATTAATGACAGCAAAGAATAAAGCAAAGTTTGAAAAATTAACAGATGAAATATGGGGTGTGGAGGAGAAATTAGGTTATGGTCCCAGAAATTATCCTACAAAAATGTAACTTCAATACCTAAAAAATAACAGAATCAGTGCTAATCAGGAAAAAATAATAGGGCATCCCTAACTTAACAGTCATGACAACCACACACACTTTTTTCTCACCATTTGATGAATCTTCTTCAGTTCAAGGTTGAAGTTCATGGGTGCTGTGGAGAAGATCACTTGGCCACTGTTCTACTGCAATTAATCCATGAATAAAAGAATGGGCTTCAATTTTCACAGATACCAAACCAGAACTTTTCACAACCATTAAATCCACAAAAATATTAAAACTTTTAGAAGTTACAGTTAGAGCATCTAAGCGAAACTTTACCACAGAACCTAAGTTTAATACCAAATCCTTTCTTAAATCATCAGGAATATGTTTGTTATTATGAGCCAGGCCTACAGATATATTGGAGTCAACACTGTAAGAAGCTAACAAAATATAGAAATCCAACCTTTTGATGACTACACCACTAGTCTTTATGCTATATTGAGCATTTTAGTGGCTCAAAAAAAAAAATCTAAATTGAAGGTTTGCGATTGAAAAATCAAGAGGTAAAAGAAAAAAAGCTAGTTTTATTTTTCACGCTCATATTTCTGGCAGTCCTTACAGTCTATAGAAGCATCTTTAGATCAGATTTATTCTGGCAAATTCAAAACTCTGTTTTCATTGTACAATAGCACACGCTGTCTACTTTAGTCCTTTCTAGATTACAACCTCTATCATGGCAAGCCGACTAAAATTGCAAAAGCAATGAATTCCAAATCCTGTATTTGTCAGGGTAAATTAGAGATGGAAAGGCTACAGCAGAAAGCAAAACACACATGAAGGAGGATGCCCAACCACAGCTACTACGTTATTAAACTGAAACTTTAAACTTCAAGTGATAGGAAATTTACAGGGGAGGCCTGAAGGGAGGCTTAGATGAACCTATAACAAGGATCTACAAGGCTGGATGAGCACTGGGGGCAAGGCAGGGCTCAAACTAGAAAAATAAGTAGGAAAAAAATTCAAATTTCCACTGGCTGTGTGCTCATATACAATACGAACACTGAATACCAAAACAATATGTTGGTGTGCAATTATTATAATCACACGTGTACCTTAGTGATCCCAAATTGATCTAACTGATCAAGGAACTTTACAGATGAAATGGAGTAACATGCAAGAACCCAGGCAAGCCAAATAATCTAACTAAAAAGCTACACAGTAATGACACAATGCCAGTTTTCATTACAACAAATTCCTCTAATCCTCATAGTTGTAAAATAAATCTTAAAAACACATAGCAAGGTAATTTGTAAAGTAATGCATGCCTGAGCCAGAAGAGAGCCTCCAGCTTTCTAACCATCCCTAGATATGAGCTTCTGTGTCATTTCAGCAGACAAGTGTCTTGCTTTGGTTTTGCCACCTCTCAACTGGATCTATGCAATCCAGTATATCCAGGCACGAACCCTGCTGCATATAGGAAACTCCAAGTACAGGAAGCTGGGGGGATGTCATCTCAGCAATGTAGGTTATTATAAGCCTCTCTTTATACTGATTTTCTCTAGACTTTTAATTTACAAATTAGGGGTCTCAGGATTCTCCAGGGCACTTCTCTAGAAGTGCCTTCTAGGTCTCTACAGTGGATCTAGTTGTCAATAGTTTCCCTCATCTGACATAAGAGGACCTATGCAAGAAGTGGGAAAAAAAGCTGAAAGTTCTACAGACAGAACTTTGTTGGGGCTGATGAAAGTCTAAGGAATGAAACTGCCTAAGAGCTAAGGGCCATCAGAAATCTAACTGCACCTTGCTTGAAGAACAAAACATATTACTTCAGCCTTACCTCAGTAACATAAGGACATAACAGGTATGGAAGAAAAGACAGATACAATAAACTGAAAACATTCAATTGCACGTGCTCCTTCCCTTGGCAAGAAAAGAACAGATAATATGACAAATGCTGGCCATGTCACTTATTACTGTATGAGGAGATTCTCTGACCATTTAATGGCACTCTCTGAGGAGAAGAACCTGTAACACAGGACAGGCATTATGAGGAGGTGTTCAGAGAGTGCTGTTATGAGAACTGCATGAAGAAAGGAGTCGATTATAGAAACTGCAGCTTAACCTCATATCTGCTACCACAGCAGATAAGACATCCACCATCCTGATGAATCCAATTTGTTTGGGATGGAAATTTGATCTAAAGGATCAACATTACTTTTGATGAGGCTCAGAATCCTTTTTTTTCCCTTCTGTCCTCAGCTGTGTTCCTGCTGTGACTTTTTGGCTTGGCCAGTCACAGAGGAAACACACTGATGATCCTCTCCCAGATGCTACAGCTAAAGAATGCAATAGCCACCTCCTCTTACATGGATTTTTACACTACAGCAATTGCCTTTCTTACTTGTTCTAATTATCAGTTAAATATTTACCCATTCTGATCCATAAATTATGATAATTCTGCATTATTTAAGAGATATGGATAAAAGGTGTAAACTAAGATTATTACATTAGGATTAAGCTTTATGCAGTCCTAAGTAATTCTGAGAATAATGATTGTGTAATGTCACTATTAGCTTTGTAAGTCTGAAACACAAGAGTGTAATAATGTAGAGAACTACCCAGTGTGCTTACATATAATAATATACATTCCAGCCTGTGCAGAACTAGGGCCTATGTGTATTAAAAATGGAACCTGAGAGTAAGTAGTAGATATTAGGGGATGTAAAAAATTCACTTTCATTAAAAATCTTAATTAAATCTTAGGAATGATACCCAAAAGGACAGTAGTGTCCTATTCATATTAGAGAATACCATGTATCATAGAAACAGTGTATCACAGAATATTGACATACTATTTCCTACATCTTATTTTTATATTAGGGTTGTAAAAATGGGTGAAAAATAATAGCTAGAATTATTTTAGGGCAAAACTACACATAATCTAAGTACAGAGAAGTGGTATCAGCAACACCATAATTTTATATTTTTCTTTACTGTTTTCACTGCTATTTCTACTGCAAAGTTTTCTTTTCACAGGCACATAGCCTTCAGGAAAAAAATTAGAAAACTTGTACTATCATTCTTTTCAGTTGAAAGGCACACTTTTTGAAAATTTTGCTCAGTGTAATTTTAATAAAAGAAGAGCAAAAAAGTAAATATACTGCAAGTCATTTATATGTCCTCCTTTTCAATAGAATGGCTTTACAATCTGAAGTTTTGTCATCTGGCTCATTTTCACTGAGAACCTGGTTTAAAAAAATTAGGAATCAGTTTCTTTAGCAGCACCAAACTTCAATTCAGAGGAAAATATCATAAATGCATAATGTTAGCTATGTGATTACTTACATGTTGCATTGCAGTACTTTTTTCCTTAAGGAACTCCAGAATTACATACTCTCTCACTCAGCAGCAGTAGTTTTCGTAGCCATGATGGTCTAGGCTTTTGAGCCCAAAAGTTTGGTGTTTTGTACTGTGGCAGTGGTAGAGATAAAAAAAAAAAAAAAAAAAAAGAGCGAGAGAAATTACCTCTCCCTTTCAAAACTATATTTTGTCAGTGCAGCTCTAGCAGGGAGCAGTGGAATCATGAAAAGCATTAGGCCCTGAGCCTGCTAGCGCTCGTCTGCCAGCAGTCCAACCGAGTTCAAGAGGACTTGCTCACAGACGTGAAGGGAAGATTTTGAAAGTCAGTGGGAACAGAGCTCCCAGACTCTCATTATGTACTTTTGAAAAATCTTCCCCTAAGTCATGAGAACAACAGTTTGCAGGTCTGAGGCCGCTGCTTTCCTTTCCCTTTCTAAAAAGTGCATCAGAATAGGAAAAAAGCCCGAAACACTGAAGGCAGAAAGCGCGAGGAGCGGCTGGCAGAGATGCGCTGGGTCTCTCAGCCGAGGCAGGGTCCGCGGAGCTCCCAGGGAAGGACCCTTCATGAGGCACAAGTCAAGTGCAGGCAGCGAGTGGCTCGGGCGGCACTGTAGCCTGCCTTCCCCCCGCGGCTTTCGGCAGCTCGCTAACCTCCATCTCGGCTTCCCCATCCCTGAAACGCGGGTGGGAGCACTACCCCAGCCATCAGGTACCTTACGATCAGTCACAGCTTGGGGCGGAGGCGAGGATGCGGCGTGAAAATGAAAGTTCGCCTTCTCTCCGAGCGCTCTGCGCGCAGCCGAGGCGGGAGCGCTGCCCGAGTTGAACCTCGCTCAGTCAAGTTCCTCCGAGAGGGCTTTTTGCTTTTTTTTTTTTTTTTTTTTGCTTTTTTTTTTTTTTTTGGTGTGGGTTTTTTTTGTTGGTTTAGGGGTTTTGTTGTTGCTGCTTTTTGTTTTCTGGTTTTTTTGCAATGACCAGTGTAGTGCGCTCCGGGCCCGCTCTGCCCCGGGATGAGCCCACGCAGCCCTGCTCCGCCGCTCGGGGACTGCTCGCAGGCCCGGCCGGGGGGCGGCCGGGGGACGCCCCGGGGCGCTGCCGCCCGGAGCCGGTGCGGCAGCAGGAGGGGGATGGGGAGCGGCGGCTGCCAGTCGGGATCGGGATCGGGCCCGCGCGCTGCGGGCAAGCGCCGAGCGCTCGGAACCCTCCTCTGGCTGCGGCGGGGCGCGCGGCCATGGGGGGGGACAAGGGGGGGTCAGGCTGCAACCTGAGCGCAGCGGGAGCCGCGGGGGTCCTTGGAGGCGCGGGGGGGGCGCGGGGGGGAGGCGCTGTTCATATTTTCCTCAGGTCCTCTTGGCGCACATCCCCCTCCCCCAGGCGGGCTTCTTTTCCCTACCTTCCCAAAATCTGCTGTCGTGCCCCCCTATCCACCCCCCTCCCTTCCACCGGCGCCTTTACCTTGACAAGTTCGCGGGGCCAGCGGAGGTCTCGCTCCCCCTCTCTCTCTCTCTCTCTCTCTCCCTCTCTCCCACACACATCTCTAACGCGCCACCTCTCCCCCGCGGGCCCGGGCTCCGGGTGACATTTCCCTCTCTCTCTCCCTCTCTCTCCCTCCCTCCCTCCTTCCCTCTCTTCCCCCCCCACCCCCCTTTCCCCATTAGCGGCGGTTGGGTCGGGAGCGCGCGGTGAGCGGGGAGGGCGTGGAGCGCGCGCGCGGGCGGCGGGAGCGGGGGGGGGGAGGGGCGGCATTGACAGCGAGCGCCGTGTCCGTGCGGCGCTGCCGCCTCAGCCCCCGCGCGCCCCCCCCCGTTCCCGGCATGCCCCGGGGCGGCGGGGCTGGCGCTAACGAATTTGAATGAAGAGCCCTCCGCTCTTTCGGCGCCATTTTCGAGTGATGCCCGATCGCATCGCTGCTGCCGCCGCCGCGGGGGAGGCGCGGGGGCCGCCCGCCCTCCCGCCCCGCGAAACTCACCTCCCTTCCTCTCCGCTATCCCGCTTCCACCCTCACCGTCGCGCTTAGGAGCGGGTGCCGCCGCTGCCGCCGCCGGCACAGGCGGTAAGAGCCAGAGGGAGCGGGCGCGGCTGGGGCAGAGGGATCTGGGCGGGCGGGGGAAGAGCGTCTTTGGAAAATGGGGGCAACCTGCACCCCGCCGCCGGGAAAAGTCACGTCGGGAGCCCGGCGGGCAGCGGGCGGGAGGCTTCGGGAGGCGGCGGCAGGTCCTGGGCGGATCTGTCACTCGCTTCCCTCAGCCTCAGCGGTCGGGAGCGGCCGTCTCCTCCGGCAGGTAACCCCGCTTGCTCCCCCGCGGCGGCACCGCGCCCGGGCGGGGATCCCGGGAGCGCCGCTTACACCCGGCCCGGGAAGAGCGACGGGAAGGCGGGCGGGGGGGCGGGCGGGAGCCGCGGGACAGCCGGAGCTCCTGAGGGTCCCGGTGCCCCGCGCTCACTGGACATGACAGGACAGGCTTCCCCTCATCTCCCTTCCGCTCCCTACCACCCCCCTGCCAGCGGATCCCTCCCAGCCGCCTTCTCCCCCCCGCTCTCTGCCGTGGAAATTTCGGGGCAGCGCCCGGGACACGGAGGCTCCTGCTTCCCGGCTCTGCAGCAGCAGCCAGGATGACTTCCACACTTACATGCACATCTCCCTTTCTCCCCCGCCGCCCTCAACCTCCCCCCCCCCGCCTTCTCCTTCCTCTCTCCCCGTGTTTTCGTAAGCTGGATTAATGCCCCTTCGCTCTTTCTCTTCCCTTTCCTTTCTCCCCCCGCACCCCCCCACCCCAAAAAAATATATAGAGGACAACCTTCAGGCTTTTTTTCCTCCGTTTGTTTCCTCTCCATGTTAGCAGATTAACTTCTCCGTTTAAGCGCTTTCTCCACCTCCCACTCAATCGCTTAATTTCCCGTGTCGCGATACGGAGCCGCCTTTTGCAGGAACCCGGGTGACGGTCGTGCTGCCACATGCTGTCACATTTATCATCTCTGCCCCTTTGGGTATTAACGAATGACCAAAGTGCTCTTCATCCCCTATTGCACAGAGCTATTTTTTCCCCCTCGCAGCGTTAAAACGCGAGTTTCCTTCCTGGACTGGAGGGGGGGAAACATAATCCGAGACCATTTGAATCGTGCCAGCTATTTGTAGGTGTTTTTCCTCTCCTCCCACACACCCCAAAACCGAGTAAATACCCTCCCCATAGATAGCCCAGCCTAATACTGTGATCAGAGCTGGCCATTCACCTCCTCTTCTCCGCCTACAAAATTCTCTGTCTCTGTCACCCGGGTCGCTATTTGTCATTGGCTTAGCTATTTTTTGGTGGTTGTTTCTATGTCATTTCTCGGTGGCCAGAAGCTCTCGGTCTCTCGTAGCTGTATGAACGCGATCGTGCTTATTGTGATAGGCGCCGAGATCTATCGCAGCCTGAGCGCTGGGCGATTCCCCCTCCGCGCGCACACACACACACACACACACACACACACACATTATATGTGACACGGTGCCTTTTTCTCCACGACGCCGTTTAACCCCCTCGGGGCCGGCTCTGGCGTGGGCGCTCGCGTTTCGGAGTTGCGCACACAGGCTCACAAGGCATCTTTTTGTGGCGGGAGCGCCGGCGGAGACAGCACCGTGCGGCGGCCGGGCAGAGAGGGAGCTCGGGCGCTGCCAGGCCAGCGGGTTCCTTCCCAGCCACAATTTCTAAGCGTTACTTTTTATTCCTCTTCCTACTTCCCTCTTCACTTTCGGCCTCCCGACCTTTTATTTTATCGTTATTATTTTAATTTTTTTTTTCCGGAGGCAGGAAGGCGTATGGATATTTTCCCCGATGCCGTGTGAGCGGCGGGCGCCCGGGGCTGCCGTCGAGCTGGCGAGCGCGCAGGATGCGCAGCGAATGCAGCTTCGGGCCCCCCGTTAAGGCGCCCGTTCAGCGGAGGCTGGACCGGCTGCTGCCCCCCCTGGTTGCCTGCCCGGGACGCGGGGCTGGGGCTGGGAGGTTGGACCGGGTCACAGCCTTTCCCCGCTCCTCTTCCTCCCCCCAAGCTGCCCCCCCTCCCGTCCCCCCGCTACCCCCCCCGTGCATCCCTCCGCCGCGTTCAAAGCCAGAAGCGGCCGCCTTGCGCTTAGCACCCCGGCCACCGAAAATAACGAGTTAACCGGGGGACGTAGGAGGGACGTAGAGAAGAGTTGGGGTGCAGAAGTGCTGTACAAAAGATTTCTGTGTACATGGCTGAGAGCGTGTAGTCTTAAAGTGAAATGCAAAACTTAGCGTTTCCAGCATGGCAACTGGATTGTGATTGAAGGTATTTTCTGTGTAATGCAGAAATCCAACAGTTCAAGGAGATTTTTCTGTCTCGAATCCCTAGTTTCCCTGGATTCTTTTAATCCAGTACGTAAATTGCACTTTTTCAGTTATTTTTTTCCTGGGAATAGCTGCTTAGTTTGTCTCTGCAATTCATACCTTTGTGCCCTGATAGAAAATTCCACTTAATCCTTGAAATTGAGATACTAGTAAGATCCTATTGAGATTTAGCACTCACTTCTTCAGCTCTACATCATTACTTTCAGAGTGTTTTCAGAAACGTTTTTAACAGTCAGTATGGGAATGTGCACAAAGCTGTTTCACTGTAGCTGTGTATACTTTGAAATATCAGGATTTGAAGGGATTTACACTACTCCGCTGTGGAAGTGCACTCACAAATACTGACTTTCACTTTCAATGAAATAACTGTCCTGACTCATAGCTAACTTACAAAAAACCCCTATAATTCAGTATTGTACAGGTGCGTGTGCATTTTTCCCCACTATTCGATAGTCATGTTCAATAGCATGCAATTTATACCTATTTTTCATTTTAATTAAAATCTGTGCTTCGCACATATTTGACTACTGAACCAACTGTTCTTTTAAGCTTTCTTATTTCTCAGCTGCACTGTTCTCATATTTTACAATTACATAAAGGTGGGTGTGGCTAAAATGAAAGCAGCTATCTAATATGAATATATAGTGTATTTTAAGTAACTTTTCCTTTCTTATATTTGGTGTACTCCTTATTTTGAAATATTTATGGGGGAAAAAATCATGTAGCTTAAATAGATCCTTGTAGAGCTGCTTGCATTTTTTACCTCAGTTAAAATGTCAAACATTAACTGGGATTACTTGGCCCTGGAAAAGTTACATTTGGAGGAAGTATCAATTGAACTTAAATATCTAAATGTATATATTTATATTTTGTCAGTAAGTGAAAGCTAAAGTTCTATGCCTAATTAAACCTTGCTTAGGTATAACATGTAGCATAGTGTTTTGGGTTTTTTGGGGAGGTTTTTGGGGGTTTTTTTGTTGTTGGTTTTTTTTTTACATTTTAAACATTTTTTTTCCTTTGTTTCTTTTGATTCTAATCCTTTATCTTGATTCTTAGGAAGAACATCCAAATAAGCTTCATTTTGCTGGGGCTTGGTTTTTTTTCTTTTTCTCCTCTAAAGTTATACTGAAAGTTTCCAAGAGGTACCCTCTCATTTTATAGGTATAAATCTACTGAAGCTTGAAGTAACTCTTGAGAATTTTTAATTTTCAGAAATAACAATAATTTGAAAGTGTGACTGTGTGTCTGTGTGGCTTTTTAATGTGTTAGGCTAGTACATCATAGGAAGCTTATTGTAGTAACATTTTAAAGGCAGACTGCATATACGATACCAAGGTATTAGGGGGTTCTTTTTCTGTTTAGTTAATTGTTTGGGGGTTTTTTACTTAGCTTTTGGATTTCTGAACCTATTACTATTCCATCCAAAATGTAATGTCATGGAAGGAAAAATAAATTGGAGTCTTTAATTCCTTAATTATTTTTATGACTAATAAGTCAGATTCTGCAGTGAAGTACAACTGGAACTGCATGCAAACTACCTGGCTCTGTATGCCCTGCCTGTGCACACTGTGTGAAGGTACACATCTCACCCGTCTGGAGTGTCAGAAGCCGTGCTAACAGGTGTATCACTGCTTTTCTGATACATTTTTACACATGTAAAAGCACACGAGCTTTCTTTACAGAAAAAGTAGCCACGTTAGCAGTTAGTGGTCCTTTTACAGGACCTTACTGATTTGTGATTTGCTCTGGGGAGCAATTAAATACTGAATGTGTAAGGGAGAGCCAAGACCCTTATCACTGTATTCTACGAATATGCTGCAGGTATTCTGCTTTGTAGATGCAGTCATCCACCCACACCCAAAGGCCCATTGCAAGTGATTTGAGTAATTCACATTCATTACAAACTGTCAAGGGTAGAGCGCATCTTGGACTAGTTTTGACTGTCTGTGAAAGAAATAGGGAATGAAATTGTAGGCTTTTGTGTAGAAATAAAAATATTTTTATCAGAAAGTTTTTAAAACTAAAAATAACTTCGTGTACACCAATAAGTGTTCTCCAAGATTTTTTTTTTCACTTATTATTGTAAGTTCTAAACACTTAATATCTAACATTGGAACCTGATCTCAAAAATTATGTTTTTTATTATCAGTAATAGTTGGAAAATTTTGTTTGAACAGGTTGCCCAAATTGTTTTTGAACTCGGTCCTCTGTGACTCTTCTCACAGCCATCTATTTTTTAATAGAACTAATATTGTATTTTAAAGATAGGAAAAAAGTTTATATACCCCTCAAATAGAAAAGGGACATCAGACAGAGTAGAGAGGTGTAGCCACAGATTTCCAGTAACCTCTTTTAGTCAGTGAAAAAGTTGATTTGCAATTTATAATTTTTTTTGTGCATTATTGGCAGGAGTTATGTTGAATTTTTAGGTTACTGATGTATTAATACATAAGTTAGATTTCAAAAGGAATCTTCGTTGAAAAATGTCTTCATTGTGGATACTGGACAATTCCAGAAATACTCAGAGTAAGCTAGGTATAAAAATTTCTGCCCATAAGGGTATAAGGCAGTGTCTGTAATAATTATTTTCTTAACCCTTTCCTGTAAGTTTTAAAAATGCTTATTCTAATAAGGAAACTTTGGGGTACAGTTGATATTACCACAATTGAGGAATAGTTCTGATCTTAGCTTTGAATGCTGTGTGAGAACTTCAGAAGATTTGGATAAGTGTTAGAGGAGGGAGCACAACATGAGCTCTAGTCCAGCTAACACTTAGAGTTGGTCAATTTTTAATTCTAATATTTGCATGCAATAATATTTTTAGAATATCATTAAAAACAACAAAAAAAATTATTTTTACAGTGAATACTAAATTTTTAAACTTTATTTAATTCTTAACACTTTTCCGTAGCTCAATAATGAACATTTGCTAGTGTATAAGGATGACATCACACATATTTAATACCATATGCACACAACAGTAGCAAAGGAAAATTCTGTACATTTAGCTTTTATTTTGTTAAAGGTTTCCTAAGATGCCTTCTAAAACTGAAGGCGATATTGTTATATTGCTCAAAACTGAAAAATAGGAGTGACTTTCAGTGATCGTTATTAATGTCTAAAGGAAACCACTGTTAGAAATAGGACCCCCCCACTCCGTGACTATTTAGTTTGTTTTCAGACACTGCAGTGAGAGTATCTGCAGTAAATAGATTATTAATAAACTTTTCAACCTTTAATCTGGTTGCAACTAATTATTTTATGTAGCATGAACTTGAAGTTTTGGTCTGAGAAAAAGATAATTACACCTCATATAGGGCTTAGGCATGTATTTTCATTTTAAATAGCTTTATTTAAGTCCTGTTTCAATATAATCTTCATGTATGTTAAATCTCAGCATAAGCACGAAGGGGATCACAACTTTGGTGGGTTTGGTTTAGATTTGGTTTAAGAACAAAAACTTTTTTTTTAAAGGTGAAATAGATGATGTGTAGAATACACGAAAATGCAAACTCCTTTTTCTTGTTAAAGCGGGGTGCTTATAATAAGTCCATAGCTGTGAGGGGGTTGTAGTGTTTTCTGGAATACTCTTAAAGAATAAAGAACAAATGTATGGAAGTATTTGTAAGCAGGTGACCTGATCTAGGTATCAGCTACTCATTTATTAGGCATAGGATGTGTCTTGTTATGGTGTCTACAATGAAAAAATTCAAATAAAGTCAAAACAGATTTAAGATTTTGTCAGTGTGAATGTAATATTTCCTCCAGTAGCTATTTGGCTATAGTTACTGCATCTGTCAAGTTATACTTTGTTCTTACC